CTTGGAAACCCTATACAAGGTTGCTATGAGTTGAAATGGATTTTGATGGTACATAGCAACAATAGTACTGTCATTGGTACTGTGCTTCTTTATACATTCTCCTAGTGGATTTCTTATTACAAATAGTGCATAGCCATGTATAGAAACTGTTGAACCCTATTGCTACTGTTCTACGCCAAGACGAGTTAATATCAGAAGCATTCAAACTACATGCAAGTGAAGTTCTCCTCATTTGGATTAGAGACAGTTCGTGATATGAAAGCTTGTATTGCAGGAGAGATTTATACTAATCTGAGGAAAAAAAAACAAAACAATAGTGCACCTGGAAATAGTAACTTAAGTCTGATAGAGGAAATACATCTTTTTTCCTTTCTTTGTGTTTTGTACAATTAACTATCTGGTAAAATTTTTAGTAAACACATTGATTTAAATACAACTGAACTGAAGTGTCAAACAATAGGAAATTTAAAAATATTGATAAGTGCTATAGGGATAAGTTTTAAAATTTTTATTTGAAAGATCTCAAATATTTTTAGTTCTGGAATAAATTTTGATTTTCTAACAATTTGTTTTTCTTTAGGAGTAGATCCCATAATAGATCACGTTCAAGACAGAAAGATAGGCGTAGATCTAAGAGCCCACATAAAAAACGCTCTAAATCAAGAGAGAGACGAAAGTCAAGGAGTCGTTCACATTCACGGTGAGTTTTAAGGTATTCAGGATAGATTTTCATTGGTGTCGTTTGTTAAAAATTTTTGTGGTTTAGTTTTTTAATGGAAGAAATTAAACTTTTTTTCTGATTGTTTTAGTAAGCTAGGATTAATATTGATTGCCGTTATTTGAATCTAATTGTTAGTATCACTCATAGGACTTCCAAACTTAAGTCAGCCTGTGAATTGTTTCATTTAGTAAAACTTAATGTACACATTTGAATTTGAAGTCTGTTACCATTAAGAATTGCTCTGTGTTGGTAATCATTGAGGAAAGAGAGAGATCCTTTTTTTCTGGGATGGGGAGGCAGAATTATTTTAGTTGTGACTTTATTTTATTTTGTTTTTAAAGGGACAAGAGAAAAGACACTCGAGAAAAGATCAAGGAAAAGGAAAGAGTGAAAGAAAAAGATAGAGAAAAGGAGAGGGAAAAAGAGAGAGAGAGGGAAAAGGAACGTGACAAAGACAAGGAACGGGTTAAAAACAAAGACCGTGATAAAGAAAGAGAAAAGGATCAGGAAAAAGACAAGAAAGAGGACAGAGAGAGAGAGCGGGAAAAAGAGCATGACAAGGAACGAGACAAAGAGAAGGAAAGAGAACAGGACAAAGAAAAGGACCGAGAAAAGGACAAATCCAAAGAGATAGATGAGAAAAGAAAGAAGGATAAAAAATCCAGAACACCACCCAGAAGTTATAATGCATCAAGAAGATCTCGTAGTTCCAGCAGGTTTGATAATACTTAAAATTTTTATTGTTGGGTTTAACTGATGATAAAATGAAAGCATCCATTTTAACTGAGGTAGAAATCAGTGCAATGGTGTCAGGAAAATTTCCCCTAATTGCAGAATGAACATTTCTCTGGTAAAAAGACTGCCGTTCTACTTCAATTTATGAAGAAATTAAATTGGACAAACTTACTTGGAACATTTTAGCAATCCTTTGTAATCTGTGTTTTCCTCTTGCTTTTATTACTTGTTTAGGAGTATGGAATGGCATGGGCAAGTATTTTTATACAAATATAGAAAAGTTGGCTTCTATATGTCTTTTGAATTTTGTGATAAATTTTAATATGCAAAAAGACTCAAACTTGAAGTGCTAATCCCTTTTATCACATAAGTAATTTTTTTTTTTTAATCGTTTTTTGGGTTTAAAAAATTTAGATTTGAATTTATTTGGAGAGACTTAAAACGTTTACCTTCAATAAAAAAAAACAACAAAAGCTGTCAAGCTGAGTTATAATTATGTATTGGAAGTTCGTTTGACCTCTTTGGTATAAAAAATTTAAAGTTTACATTTATATTAATTTTTAATGATAATGTTTATAGTATCGAGAGCTTAGATTTTTAAACATTTATTCTTTATAAGAGACTGCTGAGTTCTACAGTGTTGTTGCTGTTAGGTGCTGAAATTGGTTCTGCCTCTTAGCAAACCTGCATAGGGTTTCCAGGATTAGCTGGTAGGTTTGAAACACCGACTTTGTGGTTAGCAGTCCAGTACTTATCGTATATAGCTCTGCACCAGTAATCAAAGCAGTTTTATATACATTATCAGATTTAATCCTTACTACAACCTTTAGGAGATATAGGTATTATTTTTCACTCCATTTTATAGATGAAGAAATTCAGGCTTTACTAGCCTAAGTTCTCATAGCTAATGTGTGACAGAACGTAACTTTAGAGCCAGGTTGTCTGACTCCAAAGCTGATGAGTTTAATTACTTTGTTATTTAAGTTTTGTGTAACCTTTTTTGTTAATATGGTAATAGATTCTCATTATGAAAAAATACATTATGAAAACAATTTATTAAGAGTGGGGAAGAAGGGAACTAGAGAATTTCAAAATTGTGAAATTGCCATTTAGTAGCTGTGTTCATACTAATAAAATCAAGACATTACAAACTCAACATATGATTACATCCAGCTTTAACTCACAAGTAGTGATTATTTTCTGTCACACTAGTACTG